ATCCGGCCGAAAACAGCAATGAGCCTTTGCACTTTATTACAGCAAGGTCCGTTGCTTAATCCCCTCGTATTTTTGCCATTACAGAAAAAAGGCCCATGGCCAAAGGAGCGTGGACGGCGTCGTTTTGTGGCTCAGGTGAAAGTAGAGTGAATGTTGCGATCCACGCTTTGGGAAATGCAAACCGCGTTTCTAGGAAGGCGCCCGTGCGCATTGTAGGTGTGAAGTATTACGCCACCGTTCAAGTAATTCCCTGGGACTATTGTGGAGGCCTGGACGCACGCCATCCGTTGGTGGTGGGATGAATACTTGTGGCGGAGGCCGACTTGCGGGTTCCATTCACGAGGAAGCCTGGCCACGCTCATTAGGAAAGCGCGTTACCTCAAGCAAGCAGTAGGAGGGCGCCAAAGAATTTTGATGACTGCGCCATGGTAAAGGAATGAGACAAGGAAGCAACGCCCATGCTGCGGGCCACCTGTTTTTTTACTTTGTTCTTCTGTTACTCTAGCCGAGTATGCGCCCGTGCCAGAGCCCCAGCGGCACTGTCATACCATATATACACATATATATATATATATATATATATATATATATATATATATATATATATATATATATATATATATATATATATATATATATTGTTATGGCGTTTATTAGCCGGCACACAGCGAGTCTACACAATGGCGACAGTAACGGCCAAAACACGGGGTCTCCGCGCGAGCGGCGTTCTCTTTGGGCAGACCCACTAGAAAGCACATAAGAGTTCGACCCACTTCAGTGTTCGGCGGCTTCTGTACAATTACCCCGGGGTCGAAGAGGGAGCCGCCTGGCGACCTAACAGCTTGTCACTACGAGCGGGTCATAGTAAGCCTTCAGACGCTCCACGTTGACTATGTCGCGCCCGCGGTGGCGCATGTCCGAAGATTGTTCAATTGGCTCGATAAGATAGTTGACCGGAGATGTGCGCTCGATCACACGGTAGGGACCTTCATATTTCGGGAGTAGTTTGGAAGAAAGGCCAGCTACAGAGGTCGGGATTGAGAGCCATACAAGGGAACCAGGAAGGAAGGTGGGCTCAGAAGTGGCAGAGCCATCACGAATACTCTTCTGCCGCTCTTGCTCATGCGTCGTAAAAGTCTTGGCAAGCTCGCGACACTCTTCAGCAAGCCTGGCGGTCTCGGAAATAGGTGTACACTCAGATGGATCCGGCGTGTACGGGAGTATCGTGTCGATGGTGTGTGACGGGTGCCTTCCGTACAGCAAAAAGAAAGGTGAAAAACCAGTCGTGCTCTGAGGGGCGGTGTTGTAGGCGTAAGTGACGAAGGGCAGCATGGTATCCCAATTCGTGTGGTTGGCGGCGACGTACATCGACAGCATGTCGCCGAGGGTGCGGTTAAAGCGTTCGGTCAGACCATTCGTCTGCGGGTGGTAAGCAGTAGTTTTGCGATGGACAGAATGGCACTCAGTGAGAATGGCATCGACGACTTCTGACAAGAAGACACGGCCTCGATCGCTGAGAAGCTCCTGGGGTGGACCGTGGCGCAATATAAATCGATGTAGTAGGAAGGACGCAACATCACGCGCAGTAGCCGCAGGGAGAGCGGCGGTTTCGGCGTATCGCGTTAAATGATCTACGGCGTCGATGGCCCAGCGGTTGCCAGTGGACGTCAGAGGAAGTGGTCCGTACAAATCGATACCTATGCGCCCAAACGGACGGTCAGGGCAAGGTAGCGGTTGCAGACCGGCTGGGGACATGTGTGCGGACGGTTTGCGGCGTTGGCAAGCGAGACAGGAGCGAACGAACTGCTGGACGTAGCGGTACATCCCGCGCCAGAAGTAGCGTTGTCTAATGCGATGGTAGGTTTTGAATACCCCAGAGTGCGCGCACTGTGGATCAGAATGGAAGGATTCACATATCTCCGACCGCAGACTGCGGGGTATCACGAGTAGCCACTGCCGGCCATCGGCGTCGTAATTGCGTCGGTGTAGGAGGCCGTCACGAATGGCGAAATGGTGAGCTCGACGACGCAAGGCACGCGTGGATGGCGTTGCGGACGGATCAGAGAGCAAGTCGATCAGTTGGGCGATCCAATTATCCTTTCGCTGTTCGGTAGCGATGATGTCAACATCAATGGCAGAAACAACAACCGAGGATACTGAGCAGAGCACGTTAACTTCAGGCAGAGGGGAGCGCGAGAGGGCGTCGGCGTCAGCATGCTGGCGTCCGTTGCGGTAGAGGACGCGGATGTCGTAGTCTTGTAAGCGAAGAGCCCAACGGGCGAGGCGGCCTGAGGGATCCTTCAATGATGACAGCCAGCATAGTGCATGATGGTCAGTGACGACATCGAATGGGCGACCATACAAATAAGGTCGAAACTTTGTAAGAGCCCAGACGATTGCCAGGCACTCTTTTTCCGTGACGGTGTAGTTTGTCTCGGCTCTTGTGAGCGTACGGCTTGCATATGCCACAACATAATCAGGGAACCCGGGTTTGCGCTGCGCCAGGACAGCGCCGAGGCCTACACCACTGGCGTCCGTGTGCACTTCTGTTGGGGCCGTAGGGTCATAGTGGCGGAGAATGGGAGGAGACGTCAACAAGTGGCGGAGCTTCAGGAACGCGTTGTCGCACTCTGACGACCACGAATTGAGGGGCCCGTTACTTCCGAGGAGCTTCGTCAGCGGTGATATAATCGTGGCGAAGTTTCGTATAAAGCGTCGGAAGTATGAGCACAGGCCCACGAAACTACGCAGTTCTTTGACGGACGCAGGTTTTGGGAATTCGGCCACGGCCCGAAGCTTGGCTGGGTCAGGAAGAATGCCATCCTTGGACACGACGTACCCTAGGATGGTGAGTTGGCGTGCTGCAAAGCGGCACTTCTTCAGATTTAGTTGCAAGCCGGCATTGCTCACACGTGCGAACACTTCTTTTAGACGTTGGAGATGGGTGGAGAAATCTGGAGCGAAGACAACAACGTCATCGAGGTAACACAAGCACGTGTGCCATTTCAAGTTGCGCAGTACGGTGTCCATCATGCGCTCAAATGTCGCAGGTGCATTACACAGACCAAACGGCATGACGTTGAATTCGTACAAGCCGTCGGGTGTGATGAAGGCTGTCTTCGGTCGAGCGTCATCAGCCAGGGGTACTTGCCAGTACCCCGAGCGCAGATCAAGAGAAGAAAAAAATTGGGCTCCGTGAAGGCTGTCAATTGCGTCGTCGATGCGCGGCAGTGGGTAGACATCCTTGCGAGTGATCTTATTGAGCCGTCTGTAGTCCACACAGAACCGCACAGAACCATCTTTCTTCGCAACAAGAACAACAGGAGACGCCCATGGACTGTCCGAGGGCCGAATGACGTCGCGTCGGAGCATATCGTCAATGCCCTTCATGACGTTCCGGATCTTGTCTGATTCGGACATGCTGTCGTTCGACTTCTTGCACAAGTCCAGGACATCTTCAATGTAACTGGTGAATGACTCACCGGCCTGCTGAGCGCGTTCGCGTAAGCGCTGCTCGGCTTGCAGCTTGCGAACGGCAGGGCGGCCAAAAACGTTGGTGATAGCAGTCTTGAAACCGGACCAGGTTGCAAACTCGGACGCGTGGTTGGTGTACCACAAACTTGCAACGCCCGCAAAGTAGAACACCAAGTTTGTCAACTTGCCGTCCTCGTCCCATTTGTTGGGGACGCTCACGCGCTCGTAAATGGCGAGCCAGTCCTCCACGTCAGTGCCATCGGCGCCCGTGAAGATGGGTGGATCGCGGATCCTGGGGACACCGGGACATGGGGGTGGCATGGGAGGAGGCGTTTGCTGAGAGGCGTCGTGGGACATGGTAGATTGCAGCGTACGTGAGCGTAGTTCCAAGGGCATCGAAGGGGATCGTAGCACTCTCCACCAATTTGTTATGGCGTTTATTAGCCGGCACACAGCGAGTCTACACAATGGCGACAGTAACGGCCAAAACACGGGGTCTCCGCGCGAGCGGCGTTCTCTTTGGGCAGACCCACTAGAAAGCACATAAGAGTTCGACCCACTTCAGTGTTCGGCGGCTTCTGTACAATATATATATATATATATATATATATATATATATATATATATGGGAAAGAATTGTATACTTATGGGCTTGTTTTTTTTCGTGTTCTAACACAATATTGATGAAATCTAACAGACAATAATGCCTAATGCCAAGGAAAGGAAATAAAGGGGAGGTTTTTAGACCGAATTGTGAGGTAAATTTGAAGAAAGAAAAGTGAAGGAAAAGATAACTTGCCGTGGGCAAGAACCGGGTCCTTCCCACGGCAAGGTATATATATATATATATACAAGCCTTAATGTAGGATTTTTAGGGGGAAAATCACTAAGAAAAGTTGCTAGCTTCGGAGCTGGGCGGAGAAGCGCCGCCTGAAAAAGACCGAAGGGGTCTCGAAACGTAGGTTTTGTTTTTATTATACTATGCGCTAAATGCACGTACACAGTCCGCTTATTCATATAAGTTTACTTAGCCAGACAAATCTGCCATCGTGTTTACTTTTAAGAAAATATCTTGATTGATATGTTGGGTTTAACGTCCCAAAACGACCATATTAATCCCGTAGTGGAGGACTCCGGAATTTTCGACCACATGAGTTCATTACATGTATGCACCTAATCTGAGCACACGGGCCTGCAGCATTTTCGTCTTCTTCGAAATGCAGGCACATCAGTCGGGATTCAATCTCCGTCCTGCGGGACATCAACCAGTACCTTAGGCGACTAGACCACCATGGCGGGGCAAAGTGGTGAAACGTAGGAACTTTGCAACTATGCCTGTTAATGTGATATATCCTACCATTCTTATGTGTTTTCAAGACGGTACTGCGCCCTTTGATGACGATTGTTTTTGTCAAATAACCAAAAACATCAGTGATGCTACGTCGATTTTATTGTTGATCTTTTAGGCACTCATAGAAAAACCAGTTCTTTTATATGTGTTACTTTTGTGGTCTATCATTTCGCAGGGGAGCTGCGTGGCCAGATCGTCGACAGTGACAGCACACATGTTCTTACAGACGTTGAACTGGCCGAAAAAGTGACGAAAGCAATTTTGTCTCTTGATCTCAAGGTACGTGAATTGAACAAGCATATATTTTTGAGATAATATGAGCGCTCATTTGAATTGAATAAACCTTTGCTCCCAGATAAACTATTCCCTTTGAGCGAACAGTATTGAGACTATAAACGTTGGCATAAAAGGTTTATAGATGAGTGTAGGTGCTTCTCGCTATGGCTTTTTGGGTGCATCACGGCCCGTAGTGATAGATTAGTATAACATGCGTTCCCTAGTTTTCAATGTAAAAGGTTATATTTTAGTGGTTTATTTATTTTATTCATTCTAAAATACTCTTATGATGAGCGATTTTCAGCGCAAAGCAGCCTTAAAAATTGTCGTTTTACTAAATGTCGATTTTCTATTACTTATTAATAGGACTCCTAATACGAAGCTGATCAAGAGATCACTAAATTATGCTTGAATTTCAGCCACCTTTCTTGGCTCATTTCATATGCCACGTAACTTCTATTGAGGGTTCATGACTATGTCGAAGCACATTAAGCAGGTATGATAGGGCAAGTGGTACATGCCAGTTTGAACCGAATAATTTAGAAGCCAAGTGTGCACATATATGCAAGTATGTACATGATATTTCACATGTCCACCAAGAATGCCACTGGGCACCACGTGATATCCTCCTCTGTAAAGGATTTACCAGGGTGTAGGAGCGCTGGCTTCTCCACTTATTCACCAATTCTGTACTGTGCCCGGCAGTACAGAAGCATTTCGATTCGGCCTTCTCGGGCACATGCTGCACTGTGCGAAGTCTTGTGACACATATCAAGTGTTTTGGGCATGCCCTTCAAATTCCATCTACCCCCCCTTAACCCCACGCGAGAGAACTGAGAAGCTGTGCTGCTCAGCTTCTCTGACTTCCAAGCCCAACAGGCCTTAGGTGCTAGAGTCCAAGGCGCCACGCAGCTTCAAGGATACCGCACTAGAGATCCTTCTAGGGTTTATAAAAGGTGGGCCCTTTAGACTCGCCTTATTCATACCTCTCACTGTAAATATAATAATAAATGCTTTTCACCACTACCACTCGTCGACGGTTATTAAAATGGGTTGGTGGGTCGTTCTGCCATAAAAAACCTTATCACACAGCCTTTCGCATTCACCTCATGCAGTTATTAGGGGCTAAGCTCTTTAAGGCGTAGGTCTGTCAATCCTCCGTCGCTGCCCTACATAGCCACCGGGATGCGAGATGGGAGATGGCGGTACTTGGTGTGTTCCCTAGATGAACGCATTGAATGAGCGCATGGACGCATGAAAAGACAGACTAGCAGATGGACAGACGGATGGACAAACGCATGGAGCGGGTATGTGTCACAGGGGATGCGAGATGGCGATACCTGGAGTGTTAACTAGATGGACGCACGGACGGCCGGACAGAAAGACCAGAGGATGGATGGACAAATGAATGCACGCATGGACAGATGAACGGATGCATGGATGGACGCACGGATGGTCGCGCGGACGTACGGAACCAAGAACAAATGGACGGACGGAAGCATTGATGGGCTGACGGATGCTTGGCCCCACTCATCATCACTCATTCCGTGAATATGCCGTGATTTTTTTTTCTCGTATATCTCTTCGGTACTTGGTATAGAGGGTGCCAGCGGACACTCAATTCGAAAGAGTCCAAGAGCTTCATCAGCATGTTGTCGTGAATTGCAGCATGACTGATCGCACAGCAACGCTGTTGATAACGGAAAAAGGAGAGGGAGAGGTGAAGAAAATCTGTACTTTACATCAGCTGAACCGGCCCACGTGTAATGACTGCTTAGATCCTGCTGGTTCGATAAAGGCCGACCAAGTTCAAAAGGGTCGTTAAATTGAAGAACGTGGGATAAATCGAATATTCAAAATCTACACGCGTGCATGTTTATCGAATAATTTTTTTTGTATTTATGCGAAGGCACAGAGCACTATAGATGATGTAGGACACATCCATGACGAATGCAGCATTCACCCTCTGTATTCCCGCTCAAAAGCACGCCAAAAAAAAAAGTCGCATAAAGTTGTACATGCCAGCGGATGCCGCTAAGTGACTAAATAAGGTGACGCAACAGTGCCGCAAGGTCCAATCAAACCTTGGCAGAAGCGTGACGTCGTGCCTCTGAAGCATCAGCGAAAATGCTTTGCCCCTCCAACTTTTCTAGAAAACGTTCCACTAAGGCGTTTATTTCTCTGCATCGACGCTCACAGTGGCGTGACAAAATTGCCTGCAGGTATAAACGTAGCTAGCGTTTCTGTAAAGCAGGGCCTATAATTAGACAGCTCATAGCTATAAATAGGTGGCTGTGAGGCGAAAGAATTGCGCATGTTTACTGCGATACCGACTGACTCTGCGGCCTGGCTCCCCTCACTCAGTTACTGTTAATGGCTTGTGGTTATATTATCTTGACTTGCATGCCGTGTCAATGCAATGTCTTTGTCTAAATTTTGACTGTTATGTCTTTAACAGTAATTTGTTCCCTGGTCCACTTTGTTATCTCCTTTCGCATATAACGTTACACTTTAAATTTTCTTTTCAATGACTTCCCATTTTCGGCCCGCCCTGATACGGTGAAGTAGTGGCTAAGGTTTTCAGCGGCAGACCGCCTGCGGAAGCAGGATTGAATTCCGGCTGCGGCGGCTGCATTCTTGATGGCGGCGAAAATGCTGCGGGGCCATGGGCTCGTGTTTGGGTGCACGGTAAAGAACCCCAGTTGGTTGATATTTCCAAACGCCACCCCTACGGCGTCTCTCATAATCATATAGTGGTTTTGGGGCGTTATTCCTCGAGTATCTAAATTTCCGCCACGTTTCTGCTCCGTATGTAAAGACCCGTAAGATGCAGCGGCAAAATTCAGCTAATTCCCTTGAGGGATAGAAGTTAACTGCAAATCTTGATTCGAAAATGCCCGCCTAAAGCGCCATACCCTATTACTTAGTACTGTTTGTATGCTCTACAAGAACACAATCTTGTCCAGGGTCAGTTAGCAATGGGTCCTGTGTCTGGTTTCGTGGATGCCGCATCATTCAAGCACCTGGACCAGTCCGCCTTCAGAGAGTGCCCTGTCGGAGATCCGCGAGGAAGCCGTCTTCGTTGTTGTCTACACGTCGGGAACCATGGGACTTCCGAAGGGCGTCGAGCTCACTCACCATAGCTTCGTTGCCAACTTCTGCATATCGAAGTACGTAGTCTTATGAGTGAATGTCTAACGATAAGCTTTTATCGCCGTTACATTTGTGTGACCGCATAAAGTATCGCAGATGGTAAAGAGCTGAGAAGCAATGCTAGTACACTCTTGGAGAATGCAGTGTGGCAGAGAGAATAGCGCCGAAAATGGCGTGAACAGTACAGCGCGCATGACGGATGAGCTTAGTTACCTTAGACACGCAAACTGACGACACTAAGGAGGGCGAATGAGCATGCTTCATCGTATAACCCCAATATAGTGCACTTCATGTGCTTGCGCTTGGCGCTTTCCTTGATAAGACGCTTGGCGCACATGAGCTAGCGTATGCACGACAACAACACTGCAGTCGATATTGCAAGAAAGAATACAGTCATTATGAATGTCTTGGAAGCTTCAGGCGATTGTTTTTGTTGGTCATCTCGTTTCGTTGCTGCAATCGGTTGGCTTGCACCTTTGTGAAAAAAAAATCACATAAGCTGGGACCAAGGTTTGTCATGTTGTCACGTAAACTTACGACATTCCAGCAGAAGCTATTACTGCACTTTCCCATACTTTCGTCAGTAGGTACGTAGACCTTCAAATAGTTTCTTCAAAGGGAGACACGTTCAAGATTACTCTTATCTCTGAAACGGCCGGAAAGTGCCATGAGATCTACAGCGATGTTCACGTTCTTCCAAAATAGGAATGAAAACTTGTTCCTAATTTCTCCGTAATGTTGAACTGAACTCACTGAGCAGGTTCTTTTATTAGGAAATGAACGCGTTCCTGTTACATTTCAAACATTGAAACGTGTCGCTGCAATAATGTTATATTTGCATTTTTTTATCCTCTTGTGGATTACCCTGAGCTGTACTAAGGATACAAACCGCAAACCCACATCGAAATACGGATGTTATAGGAACGTGAACATCAGCAATAAGAATTGCCTGTTCGTGCGGCCACCTTACGTGTCGATGACCCTGGTTGTGCTAAAGTTGATGCGATGGTCCATCTCTTTTCTATGTTCGCCGAGAGCGTTTCGCGCAGAGTTGAAGCTACTTACGTCATTTCTCCTGTAGGGCAGTTAACCCCTTAACTGCTTCGGACGAACAGAGCTCGTCCTGCCTCAACTGTCACCAAACGTTTTTGGACGAATAGAACTTGTCCAAGCGGAATAAGTACTCCTTTCTAGTGTTCAGGCGGAGAGCGCGCACATACGACTCACATTGCGTGTCATCTTCCAGATGGCAGCATTTTAGCGAGAATTTCTTTTTACCGTGTGGCATGAGCGTGGTTTTCGTATGAAAAAACGGCGTGCAGTGGCGGTGACCCATGCATAGCAGGCACATAAACACGAAAGAAACGCTATTCATTTTTGTCATCTTCTTTTTGTGATGATGATTACAGTACAGATATTTATCGTGTGCCAACTAATAAAGACCGTGATTACGGTGAATTGAGCAGTTGCTCCGGTAATCATAAAGACGGCTAGGACAAAAACGCGGCAAGTGGCCGCCAGTTAAGCCGCCTTGCGTCACTACCCTTTGAATATTGTCCACGTAGCCCCGAAGCTTCTCGAGTGAAATACCCCAAAGGTTCTTAGCCTACAGAAGTGAAAAAATATGTGGCGTCTGTAACTCTTTGGCTTATAAGGTTTTAAAATTTTATTTGCAGCAATTAGCTGGTTTTCTATGTATTGTCCAGAAATAATATTTAGTCATATATATTCACTGAGCATGTGGTGAAAATATTTTTCAACATTGACTAGCTGCTTTTTAGTGCAATCAGATTCTAAATTAGAAATAAAATTGGGCGCTTTTTAATGAAAAATTTTTATAAGAACGAGCAGTTGAGGAGTAACGCAATAATGATTTCCGAAAACACGTTAACAGCGGCGGAGGCAGCTCGATCAGCAGACCGCGTGAGCCTGTTCCGCATAAACGATTGTTACAAGATATGTGTACTATATTTCTTTGAAATTTATTTAAACAACATATACGTATTGAGGAACACTATCTGACATGTGGCTGCGCATTGAGTCTGCTGATTGTCAAGCTCGAATCATTTTCTCTCGTACATATTCGGCTATCACAAACAAGTGCGACGGGCAAACGTGACAAACCTTCTTTTTCAGGCCTTGTATGTCATCAGATGAAACGGATACTGTGCTCGCTTCAGCTCCTATCGCCCACCTGTCTGGACTGCTGCTCGGATTGATGGCTGTTCTCGATGGATCAGTCTGCGTCCTTGCGCAGCCAGGCCTCAGCCTTCAAGAAATCACTGAACTTGCTGATGAACATAATGTAAGTTATTCGTTAAGTATTTCGGTATGATTCTTTATTCCAGACATGCGAAGGCTTATTATGGCTTGACGATTGCAAGAAAAAAATTTCGCATATCTCACGCACCTTGCAAATCGACGTTATGCGATGCCTGCCGATATGAGGACGTTAGATACATGCACTACCAGCATAAGTAAAGAAGACTGAAATGTTTCATTAGCACGTGTTGGTGGTTACGTGTGCACACATAACGAATACGTATGCATCTCTGACGTATCTGTGGCGTCAATGTGTCGATGGGTCACTGTGAAATGTGAGCACCAGGAGCAGAAGTATAGTTGTTTCTGCGACCGTCCGTTAATGGAGTGATGAGGGGTCCCTGTACACTAAAGAACTAGGTAATTTAAATTGACACCTCTTATAAAGAAGTTGTCTATGACATATGCGTTCCTCGTAGTGGTCACGAAATTTTCAAAGGCTATGTCTACATAGACAACGTCTTACATTAATTGTGTGAATCAGGTCAGGTTGTGGTTTAAAATATCCACAATAACGATGTCAGCGACAATGAGAAGTGGTACGCTTATATGCCTTGCTTGTGCAAGCAAGTATGGCGGCCCTCCATGGATGCTGCTATAAAAAAAAGCTTTAGTGGATGGCGCTTTACTGCAATTGCCGTTACAGGTCGAGGGATCAAATCTTGACTGCGGCGACTACATTTTCGATGGAGGCGAAATTGTTGTGAGCCCGTGTGCTCCTATGGGTGCCCGTTAAAGAGCCCCAGGTGGTAGAAATTTCCGGAGCCTTTCACTACGGCGTCTCTTAAGCATGAGGTGGTTTTCGAACATATAAATCCTACTTATCAATCAGTCAATACGATTGCTGTTATCTCAACGTGACGGGTGTATGATAAAAATACATATGTACTGTTTATAAGATTGCATAGCTAGGACTGCAACCATAGTTAACGTTTTACGAACATTGCGGTATAATTGACAACCAATTCCGAGAACTACGACATATACTACGATTAGACTATTTTTTGAAGGCTGTAGTCCGTATACCCTGTGTATAAACTTGCATCGATTTACATGAATGCGGTATTTTTTGCTGGTTAGATGTAACAGCGGTTTTATTATGTTAAAATTTCTGAATATTCGTTCGAAATGAGGTGGTGTAGCATTTCAGGCATATATCTTGAAACAATTTGCCGTACTATTCAAAATTAGTTGAAGTAGTGTTCGATAAGTATTTGTAATCGATTCGGCTTAATGACTATTCACTTCAGTTCTAAATTGCACTCTTCGCACATCACTTAGCAGAGGTGGCAGACATTTTCGGTGTCTCTCATAATCATATCGCAATTTTGGGACATTAAAGTCTAACAAATATTATTATTTTAACTAATGCTTTGTACAATTTCTATTATACTATCTTCAGCCATTTAAATATGGTACAAATGTATTAGGCCGTTGTCGAAAGAAAACGTTCGCTAGATAAAGGAGACGAGATTACGACGTCTCTACACTCTAATATGAAATACGTATTCACGCGATAGATGATGAAAAATTCCATGAGTCGATATAGCTTTGCCTGCTTTTGTATATCGCCCATCAGTAAGAACCTTACTGATCACCTCAATGATCATCACCTCTACGGTGGTGTTAGTGGTAAACATTTCATCACCCTTTGAAGAAAGTCTTTGTGTCGCATTACCGTCACTGCACACTCTTCCATGCAGATTACGTCTATGTTCTCATTTCCGACGCGACTTCAGACTTTAGCAGAAGAGATGCTCCGTGACGGAAAGCAGATCAGGAGCATTCGTCGCATCGGCGTGGCCGGTGGTGTACTTTCACAAGCAACGTATGATGCGGCCTTCAAGGCATTCGAGAATCTCGACAGCTTGGTCATCATGTACACTATGACGGAGAGCGGTGGCATCGTCTGTTCAACTTCTCTGCACGAGGCGATAGGAATTGGCATGGGATTTCCAGGGGCCATGGTTGAAATCAAGGTATTTGTATAACAGTTTTTTTTTTGCAGTACTAACCATGTAAGCAGGAACGAATAGAATTTTGCAGTTTTGAAACTTGGTTCACGAGAACCATTTTCGTATTTTTGTATATTTATGAAAGGAACCACCACCAACTCTAAAGGAAACAATATCTCGATAAAACACTCAAAATATTTCATTTTGTTGGGAACGTACCTAGCCCAGCTGCATTTTGTTTGTCGTAGAATTTGTGTATGTCAAAAGGATTGTGGTGCACACAAGCTAGATAATTTTTGACGCTCTTGTGTAAAGAGCTCCTTTCGCAGAAATTCCGGCGTCGGCAATGTTGGTTGTGAGCGAAAAAATATCTTCTGCGTGACCGAAAATTGATAGATACAAATAAAATAAATACTATTAAGTAATTCCGGGTCTGTGTTAGAAATCAAACTCGGGTCGTTTGCGTGTCCAGCGGGTGTTCTACGACACAGCCACACGTCTGCTTGCGAATATGATGGAAATAATTGCTTCTGCTTGGAAATGCAGTGATAGTAACCTTCATGCTTTACAAACACACGTGACCAGATGTCCATCGGGCACCAGAACATGCGAGTAGCATAATGACTTCCATGTTTAAAGCCAGTCACCCACTACAAAAGGCACACGCGTCCCTGCTCCTATTCTTTAAATTCGACGTAGCCGGTGCATAACTAGCTCGCAAATATTTTATTCATTTAGTATTTGGAGTGTGCACTAAGGACAGGATATAGCTGTCAACTGTTAAATTAAAGCTTAAGTAGCCCCGAAGTTCCTATTGCATGCAATTATGTGGAGACTCTCGGCTGGGTTTTGCCACCGGAATCGCCGTCACTACCCATGTATGTATAGGTATCTGTATATATGAAAACACAAGAAAGGAAAATAATCCTGATAAAGGCTTTGATGCGCGGAATACGTTGCTTGCGAATATGATGGAAATAATGCTTCTGCTTGAAAACGCAGTGATAGTAACTTTCATGCGGAGGGAGGGAGGCTTTATGCGCGCACTTATCTGTGGTGGGGGGAGAATCTCTGCACCTTTGCTTTGATCGGAATGATTGCGTTTAGTTGCCGGAAGGACAAAGATCACTTCCCTTGGTGGACAGGTTATGTTTGCGAAAAGAGCGTGCTTTTCAAACACAACGAAGTAACAACTGGGACAGTTGTCAGTGCGTACTCATATCTGTACCAATGATTACGTTTCTGCATTTTTTTGTTTAAACGGCTGCGTTGAGTGTCAATCTGTAAACATTGTTAGTTAGCTGTCATCCTGTGTGTGTTGTTTTCGTGCTTTTTTTGTGCGTGAACAGCACGCTGCACGTTTAAATGTGCTTGCCGTTCTCAGTGTTACATGCCAAGTTTTTGATGTAGAATTTACTGCTTCGCCCTTGCGGTGAAACTGTGACTTTTTCTTGCTTGAGCAAAACAAGGTACTCCTACGTGGATGGATGGATGGATGAATTAACTTTATTGAGACTTTCGGAACGCCCTTCATCTCGTAGCGGGTCGTTTTCATGTCGGAACAGAAAGACAAAGTCTTTCTACTGCATCGCGTCCGAAGAAAAAAAAAGTAGGATTACACTAGTCTTTCCACAGGACCAAAATAAAGTTCTTTTCCTGCTTCCTTCCTCGCACTCGTTGTGCAAGGCGCCCGCAGGGGTGTCTGCTCAAGCAGGTGTTTTGTGAGTGGTGTTACCACGGACCTGAGCCTATGGGCGGGGGGGGAAGGGGGGAATCAACTTTTTTTTCACTCTTAGCCGTGCATGGCATTGCCATATCTGGGGAAAGTAAATGTGGGGGTAGTGTGACTTACTCTGGGTGATTGGATTTCTAAGGCCTCCTGGCAAATGCAAGGTACCCCTTTAGCACCGGCTTGGCGTCTTTTTCGATCTTTCTCTAAATATCTATTTTTCTTTCTCCTTTCAATTATACCTTTTTCTGTATTGTCTTCTCTTCCATTTATTGCCTTGTTTCCTGGTGGCAAGTGATATCTTTTGACGTTTAAGTCAGATTTGGTTATAGTAATGGCGTGCTGCAGGCTTTGTGCAGACCTGCTCACATGTTCTGTCACGTTGTAGGCGCGGTTGCCGAACGAACAACCTTTTTCGTGGAATCAAACTAATTACCCACGAATCGCCCCGCAAAGAAGTGGCGCACAGATGTAAGTACAGATCCCCTCCCCCACACAAAAAAATAAACATGACTCGTTCTCCAAGTACCACGTTAGTCATTGTGCGTATCCTGACAAGAATGCTCGAAACATATCACCACTCCTTGCACCCAGGCACCTCACTGAGACAATAGGAAATAGCTACAAGGCCATGAAGATGGCCATTGGGTACTTTCTGGTGGAGGTCAAGGGCGAGACTCCGTATGAGAAGTTCACTGACCTTGTAGCGTTTGAGGAGAAGCCAATAACCCTCGCCGCTGACCGAGCCATGAACACCGTCGAATAAGTCTTGTCAGACGACAACTTAGTAGATCTTTCGGATGAGGCACTTCTAGGTAGAGGATATGCTGAATGAACGACCATGTGATATATAAAACGATGATTTTTCGTATAGTTCAATTCAGTATATTATGAAACAATTATTAGCGTAGACAACAATACAATGTTTTTTTTTCACATCGTCTAAGTTGTCAGTGTTTCGGAATTATGTATTTCGAATATGAGCAACACCAATGTTTTCTAGATGAGAACTCAGTTCGACAATATAACGTTTCATTTTTAAGCTTCCTGTTAGCAGTTATCTGCCGTTGTATATGCCTGATTGTGTGTGGTTTGTAACGGATACATTTTTTAATGAATAAATTTTGACCAAGAAAACAGTTTTTTTTCGACAGTGTGGGAACATCAGTTTCTATTTGAGGTATATTTCTGAAAGTGACGGTGCTAACCAACTTGCAGGCATGTCCACTATCAGGAAATATTCATAAATAACAGCGCCCAGATTAGAAGAAAACCCCTGGCACACGCAGGTAGTGGACCCTGTGAGTAGAGTCAAGCTGGGTCCAAATGAGCCAGGCGAAATCTGCTTCCGTATACCGACAGTGATGCGTGGCTATTACAAGCGACCAAAAGAGACAGCGGAATTCTTTGAAGGAAATGGCTGGTGTCGATCAGGTGAGTGGCAGTTTCAGGCACATTAAAGAGACACTAAACATAAGCAATGACTTGGTATAGATTTATGAACTGTTAATAGTGATAAACTGCAATTGATGAATATATGTCACTATCAAAAGTTCGTTATCAGCGGAGAAAAGCTCCGTGTGTGACATCAGAAATTTCAGAACGCATTTTTCGCATTTTCGTGACACTGGCGTGACAAAGTTGGCTGAAATTTCTTGTGCCAGGTGATTGACACCCACAGATGGCTACGTACTTCATTTTTAGCTATCGGAAGCTGCGTAGGAACCAGTATAAACTCCTTAAAAGTCTATGACGTCGTGGTGTTCGGTGCGAGACCGAAATTCGAGACTCCACCCGCATTTTTTTTGCGCGTTTTCTGTAGGGAGCCTTCATGTGCGCGCGCCTCCGTGTTTTAGGGTGGTGACAACTTCGAACATGGTTGCTTACTCTGGCTAAACCGGCCGCCATACTTCACGGGCCGACATGTTGGTTCTGAGTGGTCGCTCATTTACATTAAAGGCAGCGTGGGTTTCAACAAGACGGGGTAGGTTTTTTTCCCTATATAGCAAGTTCTGAAGGCTGAAGGATTGTATTCTAATGTTAGCCGCGGTTTTGTAGAAGAGGAAAGACATGTTCGTGGCTCGAGTTTGTTTAAAATACTGTTAAAACAGTCCGTTTCTCCCACCTGTTAGACCGAGCGCATTGGCGGTGTGAGATTATTTAGAGAGCCTATATTTGCGTACAGGAGAACCTTGATGTCACTGTGAACCTACTTCAATGTCTGCGCGGCATTCCTGAAGCAAGTTCATCTTAGCACTGCAGACACCTCAAAGTCCTCCTGATGCAAAGCTCGAAACCGTGCTTTTTATGTGATGGTACCCATAGCGACAGGGAAGGCAGATGAAACAACTGGGTAGCTCGCGTTGTTCTCTGTAAACCGCTTAACTTCGCTAGCCTGTTTATCATACCTGAAATATTGATTTTGTCTGCAATATAATTTCCTGCAGCAAGTTTAGTTCCTGCAAATGAATCTGTACAATGAACTGCTTAAAAACCTTACCAGCTGTAAGCATTTCCTGAAAATAGTAGGGCACTCAATCATATTACACCAACCCTCCCCCCACAAAAGCCTGTATATTAGACTAAAAGAAAAACAAAGGGCTGCAACAACAGGCAAATCAAGGTTTTTCACGTCATTGTTTATTGCTAACAGCACCCAAACGGCATATGACCCTAATTTCTTCAAACCGTCCAGCCCCCACTGCTCAAAGCTCGTGACCTCGCAGTGGGCCTGCGACACACCAAGAAAACGAAAATTCACACGCGGCGCCGATGACGTATAGTGAGTCCATACTCATTTTATCTACAAGCACTAAATAAAAATTCAGTTTACGATACCAAATCTTCTATGTGGCTCGTTATGAAACAAAAGAACGGCAAAAATTACGATGCAGCACATGGTGGATAATTGAGTTATGGGCCAACAACCAACTTGCTTAGTGCACATATGCTGCACCATTCAGGACCGACAGACAGACAGAAGGACGCATGGACGCAAACATAAATCTGTCGCATTCTATGTGAAAGTGAAACCCTTCTTGCAATTATTGAGCGAGTTTTGGTGTGGTTGCGCGTATGATTGAAGGGAAGAACGAATACCTCATGGCAAATCGCACAAAATTTAGTTGTGTTGCAAATGAGCAAGACTACAAGAGTCTACAGAGAACGCGGTCGTCGGCTCGTCTGCCTACCTCTACAAATGCCTTCCTCAGTGACCTAGGAGAAATTGCAGGAACGCGAACACCTGCCAGCAAAGTAAGACGTGAACGCGAGCGTTTGTAGGTGGTTCACGGGCCTGGCGTTTTCCACAACGAATGCGGTGACGGTTTCGGAAACCGATAAAGCACAGATAGTGAATGCATGCAGGACCACACATTCGACTAGTCATATCATTCTATTGGTCGACCGTGCTTCGACTACGAGGATAAACAAGCATACTCAACGAGCTTTCACTTGCATAGCCCGGCGTAGCCGAACGAAGCCTGATTCATTTATATACTGTGCACGTTGTCGTGTTCACTTTCCTCATTTTGCTTTTTCTCGCGTGGCTTAGTCAGCCCTGTCAAGATATGTGCGGTTATATACTCAGCCCGCTCGCAATACAACGGGTGTTCACCTCACAAAGACGGGGAGAAGTAGTTGGCTCCAAGCAGTCTCACTTCACTTGTGTAATCCAGCGTTTCCGTTGGCTAGAGCAAGTCGGGAAGCGGGACAGTCTTCAGGTGGTTTTGCATTGCGGCATGCAGCACCCTGGCATATACACTTCAAAGTCCTTGTAGGTGCGCTTAGCGCAATAATGGTGTCGTAGCGTAAGCTACGTCTACGGTGTAGCCAAACGTAGCTCATACCGCAGCTTGCACACCCGCGCCAATATGCAGCTGGTGCAGTGCGGCGGAGCAGGAACGCCTGGCTGAAAGAAGCAACATGGTGATAGTAAGCATGGAAACCGGGACTGGCAACATGGTGCTTTAGCGGGTGGCGGACAAGTGCCGGTAAAAGGCTGACACCACCCTAAAACACGGAGACGCGTGCACATGAAGGCTCCCTAGTTTTTTAGCTTACCAAGTGTCATGTCGCGGTAACAGTGGTGTTTACGCGGTTTTAGAAATGTACCTTATTATTGAGCGAAAATAATTTAGCTGTTTAGTGGCCTGTTATGTCGATGCATATTTTCTTTGCAAAGCGGTGCCTCGACTATCAGTCCTCGCGTCACTCTAATATATCAAAACAGTGGCACACATGTTGGATTGTTCGCCGATTTCTCTATAGTAAGAGAATGCCGTCTGTTTATGAAAAGTGTTTAATGATTTCAAGCACAACGCACTCAACTATGACAGAGCAGTGAGTCATCCCAGATGTACAGTAAACATACAAATACTGTCTAAAGCACAAAAAGCATCGCCGTGTAGGTGAACAGTCATTCGATCGTGTGATCCTGGCCTGTGTTATATTGCTCCAAAGATGGATTAATCAGTTTTTTTTCAAACTCAGCAACCCATTTCTGATCAGTTAGGTCCATCCAAAAAACCACAACGCATCTGTCCGTCAATTTCGAATGACAGTCATGCTCGTTCGATTTTTCACTTGAACCGTTAGTACGTTTTCTCGGATAACTCAACCACGTGCATTAAAAGGTCAAGGTTCGTCATAATACCTAAAACACTGTTTTGTGAAGGAGCAATCTTGCGATCTCTAGAGAAAGATTAGGCCATTCATGTTCATGACCGAAAACCAGTGCCAGAAAGATGAGTCATTACTCAGTTATCCAAAATGCGCGAGAGGTGCTTAACATGTATATTTAAAAACTCATAGTGCCTTTCCTCCGATTTTTTTCAGGTGACATTGGTTATTACGACGAGTACGGGCGTTTCTATTTCGTCCAGAGGCTGAAAGAGATGATAAAATGCATGGAAAACCAAGTTGTTCCTGCTGAGCTTGAGCAATTGCTGCTTCAGGAGCACTCCGAAGACATTGCCGAAGTGACAGTGGTGGGGCTACCGCACCCTTTATACGGAGAAGCACCAGCGGCTGCGGTAGTGCCCCGGGGCAAAATACATGTGTCACAAGGCCGCGGGGCCCTTGGCTGATAAGATTAAGGCTACCATTGCAGGTGCAGTTCCGCTTTTATGCCAATAGTGTTTCTTTATATATTTTGAATACTGCTCGTCTCTTTTCGACACCATGCATAGTATATAGGCATAGAAGTATGACAAACAGCTACAAAAATTATATCAAGACTCGACGAATTTCTGTCGTCATGGGCATGTCTCGTATGTATGCATGTATGTGTGTATGTATGTATGTATGTCCCGAAAGTATGGTGTCCATGAGCCTTTGAAAAGTCGTGGAAGCGGAACACAAACCGAAAGGCAAGACGTTAAATTCATATAAACCATTTGACATCACAAAAGCAGTTTTCTACTGTTGTCTTGGGTCTTTCTCGATCTGCCAGTATTCACTCCTCAAGTCCATGGAAGAAAAGTAGCAAGCGTGCCGAAGCCTGTCAAGGGAGTGGTCCATATGTGGGAGTGGGTACACATCTTTCTTGGTCACCTGATTAATATTTCTGTTGTTTACTCAAAAACGCAGGGTGCTGTCTTTTTTCTTTACAAGCACTACAGGGGATGCCCAGGGGCTCTGTGACGGTTGAATAACGTCATCTTCGAGCAGTTTTCGCGACTTGTTACTGTATGACTTCGCGTTACTTTAGAGCTACACGATAAGGATTCTGGTGAACAGGTCTCGCCATGTCTTTAGTGATTATTCGATGTTTTGTCAATGATGTTCGACCGACTCATGATGTCGAAGAAAAGCAGTCTCTGAATTCGGCTGGCAGCTGAAGAAGTCTCTGGCGGTCGTCCTTTGACAGAGAGGGGGCCAACGTCAAATACGTGTTCTGGTTCTTGATTCAGGTGCTTCGTCCAATACTGAGAAACATAACTGCCTTGCAATTTTACGATATTGTCGAACGAGCTGATAGCTGTGTCCTTTGGAAGGCACCGTCGCTAAATATTAAAGCTGGTCAACAGCAAGTTTGTGCGTCCACCAGCTGAACGGACGATACCTCGTGCAATTGAAATGCATAGCTAAATAGTAGCGAGCCAGTTCGGTCGGCAATACCTTCACGTCAACGATTTGTGGCCCTTCCACCAAAACAGAGTGCTAACCGTGGCGGGACGACCACATCATCATCAGTTATACGTGAAGTGTTACGTATCGCGCCTGAACAGTCGACTAAACTAGGGCTGTTGCGTACCTTGATTGAACAGTCAGGGATGTTGATGACAGCGCCATATTCTGTTAAGAAGTCAATTTCTATGATCAGGTCCTTGCAGCATGAGGTCAGGATGACGAACGTTAACTCGAAGAAAGAACCACCGATGTCGAGTCTTTCTGTGCACCTTCCGACAGGCATCAACAGTTCACCGCCTGCCATTCTCAAGTGAGGTTCCGTCCACGTAGTCTTTACTTTCCTGAGGCATACGGCGAAGTTATCGCTAATAATAGAAAAGTCGGCACCAGTGTCTACAGGGGCTGTTACTTGCTGTCCATCTACAAAACGGTAAGATCTGTCGTCAGTTTCGTCGGTGTTATGACTAGTCGGCTTTACGGCGTCTTGTGTTAAGAGTTACAGGGGCCTTTTTTTCGCCTAGACGGCCTGCAACTCCACCCTCGGAGGTCACCGCCTTCAGTATGGGTGACCTCCTTCCACTACCGTCAGCAGTAGTGTGGTGGTGTGACGAAGGTGAATAGGACGGAGAGCGTGGTTGACGTCCCAAACCTGGCTGATAGTCAAGCACACTGTCGTCATTTGTTGGCACGGTGGTTGTCAAATAGGACCGAGACAAGGGGGTCCTGGAGAATCGGCGTCCTCCAGGCATGGTGCGTAGTCGTCGCTAGGGCGTCGATTGTCAGACGATGGCCGAAAAGTATGAACTGTATTGACGTGGTGCCAGAAAGACGGGAAATGTGGCCCACACCTCCGCAGTTAAAACAAAGCGGACGCCTGTCTACAGTGCGCCGGGTGCCTGTTTTTCGAAGCTGTGGACGCCGCAACGGCTCGTAATGTGGTGACGCCACGTCAGTCGGGGACGGCTCTTCGTACGGCGGCATGATGGCAGGGCGTCGTGGTGTCTGTTCGTGTGGTGGTGACCCAAAGAAGGGCTGCTGATGGCACGACCTGCGCAACCGTTGGCGGGCGGCGAAGCGCGGCTGCGAAGCTCATGGGTCGTTTATCGTGAGCAGGATCAGTTGTTAAAACGCTGGCGTATTTCTTCGCAAACGACTTCAGTGACAGACGCCGTGGGTTGTGTCCGCGACCGGTGTCCACAACTTCAGCAGCTCTTCGCGAACAATCTCTCTTATGAATCGGTAATGATGTATGATTGTCCGACGTCGTAGTGGTGGACTTGATTGTGGGCGCTGTTGCACAAGCGATCGTACTGTCGGCATCGTAGGTGAAGCGCCCGTTCGATAGCCGTAGCTTCTTTGATGAAGTCTGTGACGGTGCTTGGTGGGTTGCGTAAAGTCCGGCAAACAACAGCTGCTTAATGCCTCGCATGGGGTAGCGCGACTTCTTGTCACCGGTCATGTGCGGGTCAGCTCTACGGAAGAGACGGGCCATGTACGCAGCAAATATTTTGACTGTTTCATTGGGTTTCTGAACCTGTAGCTCGAGTAATTGCTGTGCACGGTCACGCCGGTCGACAGGGGCAAGTGTGTCAATCATCAGCTGTTTAAAGTGACTCCATGTTGACAAACTGCTTTCTCTGTTCTCATACCAAGTACGAGCACTGTCGTCAAGATAGAAATAGGCACGGGGGAGCCTTTGTTCAAGAGACCACAGATTGATGTTGGCGACACGTTCATATATTGATCAAGCCAGCCTTCCACACCTTAATGTGCGCCACCGCCAAAGCGATCAGGCACCAATGGCGAAAAAAGGGTTACCTGAGATGGGGTTGGCGGACTAATGTCTCGTAGTAACTGTTGTGGACTGGCGGTGGCCATTGGAAGAGGTGAGCGGTGCCTTGGGGGGGGGGGGCGGCTCATGCGTAGGGGTGAACTCTGGAGGAGGCCTCACAAGCGACGACTGAAGCGACGCACGGGAGTTTCTACAATTGCGTCCGGGCTAGATGAACGGCTTCCCATGGGAGTGTAGAGCATCAGGCGGGGTTACAAGCCAGCACGTCCACCAGTGTTGTGGTGTAGCGAGAACAAAAATTATTAGAAACAGCTTGCGACGGTGAAACAGGCTGTTTGATGATGATGCTGATGTTAATGATGATAATGATCCTTGTTTCAAAATCAACTGTATGCCGAAGACCATCTTCGTCTTTCTTTTCTAAACCTATTGTCCCGCTACCAGGAGTCTGCAAAACACCTCGAATGTCGTTCTCTTCTACGCATATATCTGTGACATGTATGTATGTATGTATGTATGTATGTATGTATGTATGTATGTATGTATGTATGTACGTATGTATGTATGTGCACATGTGCGTATCTACATACGTAGGTAGGTATGTAGGTAGGTAGGTAGGTAGGTAGATAGGTGGGTGGCTAAGATAGGTAGGTAAGTAAAGCCACAAACAAAAATAAATCGGTAGAATAAATTTGCGACATGCGCTGTTGAGATTTGAATCTGTGACTCCTGACTCCGCAGCCTACCGCTTTAGAAAGCGCTGCCACGTGCCACTGGGTACTTGAAATGGTAACGGTGAGCATTTACCGCTGCTGGTACGCAGATCTCGGAACGCTTCGGTGCGTTCAGTACCACCCTCCAGATTGTGCTAAGGGTGCGCTTTAAAGCAGCGCTACTTGATCTTGTTTCAGCTATTTTTGAGAGGCGCATGGAAGAGAGGCCTATTTTCGTACCAATTCGCAGTGTGCGATTCCGGACAAGCAGTGCATCTAACGCCATACCGCAGGAGGCGCTGAGGGACACTCCACGCGCCGTTATGTTCAGTGAGGAGACGCTGGTGTAGTCAACATCTGCTGATAGTCAAGCACACTGTCGTCATTGTTGGCACGGTGGTTGTCAAATAGGACTGAGACGGGGGGTCCTGGAGAATCGGCGTCCTCCAGGCGTGGTGCGTAGTCGTCGCTAGGGCGTCGATTGTCAGACGATGGCCGAAAATATGAAACGTATTGACGTGGTGCCAGAAATGACGGGAAATGTGGCCCACACCTCCGCAGTTAAAACAAAGTGGACGCCTGTCTACAGTGCACCAGGCGCCTGTTTTGCGAAGCTGTGGACGCCGCAACGGCTCGTATTGTGGTGAACGCCACGTTATGTCGGGAGACGGCTCTTCGTACGGCGGCACTATGCAGGGCGTCGTGGTGCTGTTCGCGCGGTGGTGACCAAAGAAGGGCTGCTGATGGCGCGATTGCGCAACCAGTGGCGGGCGGCGAAGCGCGGCTGCGTAGCTCATGGGTCGCTTATCGTGAGCAGGAACAGTTGTTAAAACGCTTGGCGTATTTCTTCGCAAACGACTTAAGTGACAGACGCCGTGGGTGTCCGCGACCGGTGTCCGCAACTTCAGCAGCTCTTCGCGAACAATCTCTCTTATGAATCGCGTATGAGCTTTCATTGTCCGACGTCATAGCGGTGACTTGAATGTGGGCGCTGTTGGACAAGCGATTGTACTGTCGGCACCGTACGTGAAGCGCCCGTTCGATAGCCGTAGCTTCTTTGATGAAGTCTGTCACGGTGCTTGGTGGGTTGCGTAAAGTCCGGCAAACAACAGCTCTTAATGCCTCGCATGGGGTAGCGCGACTTTTTCTCAGCGGTCATGTGCGGGTCAGTTCTATGGAAGAGACGGGCCATGTACGCAGCGAATATTTTGACTGTTCATTGTGTTTCTGAACCCTTAGCTCGAGTATTTGCTGTGCACGGCCCGCCGGTCGACACTGACAACTCTCTCAATCATCAGCCGTTTAAAGTGACTACTATTCACAAACTGCTTTCTCTGTTCTCATACCAAGTACGAGCACTGTCGTCGAGATAGAAATAGGCACGGGGGAGCCTTTGTTCAAGAGACCACAGATTGATGCCGGCGACACGTTCATATATCGATCAAGCCAGCCTTCGACTTCATAATGTGCGCC